GTAGTAGGTAGGTAGTAGGTAGGTAGGTAGGTAGGTAGGTAGGTAGTAGTAGGTAGGTAGGTAGTAGTAGTAGTAGTAGTAGTAGTAGTAGAGAGAGAGAGAGAGAGAGAGAGAGAGAGAGAGAGAGAGAGAGATAGAGAGAGAGAGGTTTCTTCTCTTGTTTTGAGGAGAGAGAGTGGTAGATGGATGTTCAGAGAGTCATTTTGGGCAGTAAGGCTCTAGAGGGATTTTAGAACTCTACCATACTATTGGCGATGGCCTCACCCTCCCGTGCTAGGCACATCTCCCTGCAAAATTAGGCTTATGGACTCAGGTGGTGATGGGGCTCAGGTGGTGATGGAGGCCACTGATGACACAGTCTAGAGTGACTTTCCGCCCCAACCCCTTGGTCTTAAGTTTTGTGGCTCTCACTCCATGAAAAGAAGGCGCCATCTGATCCCAAGATATAACTAAATCTATATTCTTCTCACATAATTTATTGCATGATGTCCTAAGGCCTGAGCAAATTCTTCCATTTTGCTCTTTCCATAGCCCCCACAGGATCCACAATAGGCAGTGCTTCCAACACAGCAAATGGTACCAACTGACGAGGTCACAACTGATCTAAGAAATAGCTTAAAAAAGATTCCCAGATCCGTTGAGCACGAGGACGGTTTAGTATAAGATGGTCAGGTGTTTATTTAATTTATCAACAGAGACATATTGGAGCTCTGAGAACTGTGATGTTTTAGGGAGTTGCTAGTAATAATCTTTGTCCAGACAAGTGAGGAACTTGTCAAAATGTAAAATATATCTTAAACTGAGGCCGTAGACTCTGGAATTTTTAGATTGTTGTGGTTACTCTACATTGAATTTGAGACATGCAGGGTCACTCCTTCTTGAGGACATTTTCTTTGTATATAATGGCATGTTTCTTCGTATGTTAGGACTGTATAAAATCTTATTGTTTTTGTGAAAAAAATCGTAACAAAAGCTAGTGTTGTTTTGGAATTTTGTTCAGTGGCGTTTATTTGTTAATAGAACCAAAGTGATCCCTATGATTTTAGAAATTCAGGCATCTTCGGTGATCCCCTCGGTGAATTATGAACTGGTGGATCTATATTTCAAGAAATGCTGTGATTTCCTTTCCCTTTTGTCTTTCATATTTCACAGGAAATGAACTGTGATACCTGCACTATGTTACATGATGCAAATATCTAGGCTGTTTGTGTCAAGTCGTTAATGGAATGGAAGAAAGCATGGAGTGTTAATATTTTAAGTTTATCATCATCATCATTAGAGCCTTCTCACAACTATTTGGGGTCAGCTATACGAATCCCGGTCTGTCATTCTATACGAAGTGTTAATATTCTAAGCTGCATCCACAATTCTTGCGCCATCCCCACTGGAGCTCCGAACTGCTAGTTAAAGGAGACTATCAGAATGTCACCACTTGGGCCTACCTTGGCGGATCGACCTGTTTTTCTAGGTTTGTGTCTTACTATAATCTCTTAAAAGAGGATTTTGATTCTGTTTTTTGGACATTTTTCCCTCGAGCATCCTTTTCTGTGGATTGCCAAGGTCTCTTGTACTCATCCTCTTTTCTATTAAAGGTTAACACGTTCAAAAAAAAAAATGTCACCGCTTGAGCCTCCGGCTCTGCTGACTGCCCATGAAATATAACGCATTTTCAGGGGCCTTTGGGTCTCTTGGCAGCACATTTTTAGGGAAGCTAACACAGCTGCTAACACAGCTACTGACTCTTTGGCTAAGGAGGGAGCCCTATCCAACTCCACCACAGAATTATTGCCAACTTCTTGAACACAGTCATTCTGGATGATACTTAATAGGGTGCATTGCTTTCCTTCTATTCACTGTATAGCATTTTTGGGCCCTACGGGGTTTTTGTATAGGGCATCTGTCTGAGTGGTGGCCTCATTTTTTGTATACTCCATTTTACTCAGCACAAAGTTCAAAAAAAATAAAAATCGTGCGCCATCCACAAAGAGCTTACCTCAACCCAAGCTATAAGACTAATTGGGCTCTGATTATATGAGGAAGTGGTTATCGCTCTTTCGAGTTGGATCTAATTGGGTTTATAATCTGTTGAGTGCCTAGATCAATTTGGTTGAGTATGGTGGATTGCAGCTGCTTATTGACTTTATTCTCTTATGCACATTCACTAGGCCCTTTTCTACATTTTTTGGAGCTTTCATTCTCTTATGGTTTATATAGATAATGTGATTTTCTTTTTGTGAATTTTATCAAGATATTTTTCTCGGTCTCACTTTGACGAACCTTTTGCAGGTGACCCAGATACCAAACTTTCCATGGCCACACACCTCGGGGAGGTTGTCCTGAGCAATGATGTGAAGACCTTTGTGGCCGAGATGGTGGGGTATGCCCTCGTGGAAATCATGAAAAGTGGAACCCTTCAGGCCCGCGAGGCCGCACTCAAGGCCCTCAACCAGATCTCCTCGTGCGAGGCTGGGGGTAAGATCCTTGTTGAGGCTGGCATTCTTCCCCCTCTCATTAAGGACCTCTTCACGGTAGGCATCAACCAGCTCCCCATGAAGCTCAAGGAGATTTCCGCCACTGTCTTAGCTAATGTCGTGAGCTCGGCCTCCAACTTTGAACCCATCCCTTTAGGCCCTGATGGCCAAACCTTGGTATCTGAAGACATTATACACAACCTCCTCCACCTCATAAGTAATACAGGCCCTGCTATCGAGTCCAAGCTCCTCCAAGTGCTTGTTGGGCTCACAAGCTCCCCAACCACCGTGCTTGAAGTGGTGGTAGCGATTCGAACATCAGGGGCCACAATAAGCTTGATACAATTCATTGAGGCCTCACAGAGAGACCTACGGTTGGCCTCAATAAGGCTCCTTCACAACCTTGCACCTCACATGGGCCAAGAGCTCGCGGATGCCCTAAGGGCTGCTCCAGGGCAGCTCGGTGGCTTAGTTAGGGTGGTCACAGAAGCTCGAGGCGGGATTGCAGAGGAGCAAGCATCAGCCGCCATGCTTCTCGCCAACCTCCCCATTAGAGACTCGGGCCTGACGAGAAGCCTCTTGGAAGAAGGGGCTTTTCGGGCCATCATACTGCAAATCAAGGAACTAAGGAGAGGCGAGACTCGTGGGTCTAGGTTTGTGACCTCATACCTCACTGGGCTTGTTGGAATCTTGACGAGGCTTACTTTTGTTATAGGGCAGGACCAAGAAGCTCTAGACTTGGCTCAAGAGCACGATCTTGTGGGCTTGTTTTCCGAGCATCTTCAGGCCAACGGGCTAGACGAGGTTCAGAGGCTCTCAGCCATGGCCCTTGAAAACCTCTCGGCCGAGACTAGGAAGCTCACAAACATTCCTGAGGTCCCAAGACCAGGGCCATGCGGTGTTCTTTTTTCATGCTTTTACAAGCAACCTGAGGTCATGGGCACGTGCCCGGTGCACTTAGGAATATGCTCGAGGAGGGAGACGTTCTGTTTGCTTGAGGGCAATTCAGTGAAGAAGCTCGCAGCTTGTTTGGACCATGGCAATGAAGCAGTAGTGGAAGCTGCCCTTGCGGCCCTATCTACACTTTTGGACGATGGGGTTGATATTGACCAAGGGGTGCAAGCCTTGTGTGAGGCTGAGGCAGTTGGGCCAATGTTGGAGATATTGAAAGAGGGGAAGACAGAGGTGCTTAGGAGAAGAGTGGTTTGGGCGTTGGAAAGGGTGTTGAGGTCGGGGGAAGTGGCTGCTGAGGTTTCGGGGGATGCAGCTGTGGCCTCAGCTCTTGTTGATGCATTTAGACATGGGGATTATAGGACTCGGCAAGTAGCTGAGCAAGCCCTCAGGCATGTGAATAGGATGCCAAATTTTTCAGGGATTTTTCAGAAGATGGGTTAGGGAGAGGCTATGGCCGTGAAAAAAAGCTTGGAGGAGTTTGAAGGAGGAGGAGGTTGTTGCCTCTTGGGTGGTGAAGAGGTAAGGGGTTCATTGAGGATTTTTTATAGTGGAATTATTTGGTTCTACTTTGGGGGGTTGAAATGTTGTTTGCTATGTATGTATTCTCTTTGTGCATCTTGTTTTTTTAATTGTTTGGGCAGGCAGGAGTCCGCCTGTTGCCTCAGATAAGCTTCTCCCCATGTATGCCAGCCTTACGTTTGATGAGTTTATGGATTTTGCACTCTTCTTTTTGTTTTTCTGGTTGCTACCCTAGGACCTTACGGTTTGGACCAGTGTTTCGAAACTTGCTCAGTCCGACTCTGTCTCAAGCAAGTGGCCTGATAGGGTAACGGGTTTGAGGAAGAAACTTTGGGAATCTCATTGTTATTAGTTTTGGAGTCTCGATGGGGCCCAACTTGTTGATTCAGACCCAGACCCAGACCCTGCCTGCTTCTAGGGCAGAGTCCAAGTTCCAAACACTCTGTTGGGAGGCTTTTTTTGTTAATTTTTTCTGTCGTTTTATTTGATTTTTTTAGCTTGGTATTTGGGGCATCGATTTTCTAATTCTGAAAGAAGGAAAAGAAGGAAAAAATTATTCTACAAATCAATTCTCTTGCTTTTGGCCATATGGCCTGGTAAGACTGGTTCAATTCCCCTCGGAACAAATCAAAGAAAACTCGACCACGGTGGTCTGATTTTCACAATAGTATACATTTTGTGTGTGAGAGAGAGAGAAGTGCTGAAGCAGTTCATATGATGTCTCCCATGGGGAAGTGTTAATACATGAGCTATTTATCCTTTCATGGCAATTTAAATTTGCTGGCAAACCCTCGCACAAAAAACCAAAGGAACGGAAGCGAAAGATAAAAAATGGAAGTACAATGATGCTACTCTCTCATAAAATCTCCACCCCAACCATATCTACCCCTATACCATCAAGCAAAAACTTCCAAGTAAAAGAATCAGGAACAACATTCCTTTTCACCATTTTCTCCAAAATCCCCTGAGCATTAACCAAATCCCCATTCTCACAAAAAGCATCAATCAAAATATTATAAACACCAGCATCAAGGCAGTAACCTCTCTCCGCCATTTCCTCTAAGAATTTAGCAGCACTCTTGACATTTCCTTCCATACAAAACCCACCAACTATAGATCTGAGAGTCTTTAAATTTGGGAAAAATTCTCTGCACACCATTTGATTCATGAGCCCAAATGCCCTAAACACACTCCATTCTTTACATAACCCATCAATTAAACAATCATACACAATAACACAGGGTGCATTGCCTTCACCAACCATCTCATCAAAAACCCCAATTGCCTCTTCAATCTTGCTACCCTTGCATAAATCCAAAACTCTAAGATTCATATCTACATTTCTAGTGAAAATTGGCCTAATCCTGGTGAGAAACTCATAAGCCTCGTCTACTCTATTCCCGCAGTAAAAACCATATATTATAGTGTTATAAACACCCATTTTCTCTTTCTTCACCACCCTATTGCTAGTCCCAATGTCCTCCATCATACCCAATACCTCAAGCCCATCTTGCATTCTTCCTCCCCTGCAAAATCCTCTAATCAGCGCCTCAAAAGAGGAGAATTCAGGTCTGATTTTCTCTCTCGTCATTTCATGTAAAAGATTAAGACCCAACTCAAACTTTCCCAGGCTGCAAAAACCAGAGATTAAGGCATCATAAGTCCTGGAATTTGGAAGGCATCCCTTCCTGTACATCCCCTTCAAAACACTTTCACCATGCACTAATTCACCAGCTCTACAAAATCCATTTATCAGAGCATTATATGCAACCGTATCAAGCAAAACCCCTCTTTCTTCAACTCTGTGCAGCACCTCTTTGGCCTCCGCAACCCGACCTTCTTCGCACAGAACCTCGATGAGCTTTGTCACTGTAACCACATCAGGGACCAACCCAACAGCCAAACTCTTCTCAAACAAGACCAAGGCTTGCAAAAAGTTTCTCTCTCTACAATACCCAGATATCAGAATGTTGAAAGTGACATCACTGGGCTTTGTCATCTCACTCATCAGGCTCCTGGCTCTACCCACCTTCCCATTTTTACAGAGACAATGAATTAGAGTATTATACACCACCGGGTTGGGCTCGACTCCCTGGTTTTTCATCAATTGCAGGAGCTTGAACCCATCAGAAACTCTATTTGTTGCACACAAGCCCTTCATCAATATCCCAAACGTGTACTCATCAGCAAAAATTCCAGATTTCATCATCTTTTGCCTGTAAAAATCCCTGGCCAAGTCTATGTTTTCTCTCACTAAGACATTGAGGATTGAGTTGTACACCTTGAGAGATGGCTTGATACCACACTGGGTCATAAGATCAAGCACTTGTATGGCTTTGTTTCCCGTTTTTGCACTTCCATAGCCTTTGATAAGAGTGAGAAAGATATCTTCACTTGGAGGAGATTTTAGAGAGATGGGTATCTCTCTAATTACTTTTATTGCAGTGGGGAAAGAGCAAAAAGAGCAGAGCTTGTGAATTAGAGCTCTATAAGTTGAGTTAGTGTGAAGAAAGTGAGGGATTTTGGAGGCCCATGTGAAGGTTTGGAGAGCATCACAGGGTGATTTTTGATCGAGTATGAGTCGTGCTATTTGTTCAGTGGTTGGAGGAGGGCTGGTGGAGATGGGTTTGGATAGGAAATCGAAGAGAGGGGTCAGATGAGAGAGAAAGCGGGAGTTTCTAGCAGCAGGGTTGAAGGAGGATAGCATGGGTTCTTCTCTCTTCCTTGAGAAGACAGTGAGGTTGTCTGTCGTATTTCAGATTCTTGATGTGGCGACTTGCACAGTGATGTAGAAATTGTGTCCGTTTGCCTTTGTGTTAATATTTCGGGGTAAATCTGACGAGCCCTTACCCGTTTTTAAATTTTTATGAATACTCACAATAAAATTACATGCGGATGGATGGTTACACATACCCTTAGCACTACACCACCCTACCCTACCCTTTGGAGGGGGACATTGACAAGGTCCCACAAAACAAAATGAAAGGAATTACAAAGTTTGGGGATGGGCCCACCACCATAGATTGAGCCACTCTTTGTCGAGCAATCAACATCCCTCTCAAAAGCGTGTGATATATTTCAGTCGTAATTAGTGAAGGAGAAGAGTTTTATGTAGCAATTAAACAATAGGGTGGGCAACCTTCAAGGGGAGGGGCCGGGTCGAGTTATGGTGCCCGAGCGATTCCGCTAACAATTTAGTCGCTTTCAATGATGAGTGGGCGTAGTCCAAGTGCAAGAGAGATGCCCAATCCAATGCATCAAAATAAATTTTGCTTGCTGCATTAGTAGAGGTGGGACCCAGAGAGATAGAAAATGCCACTGCAGAATTTTTTTGGACGATCCCCCACGACCCCGATTGCCTGGATTATTACCAAGGGAGGAGCCAGCCATTCATGGTGAGCGTCCGCCTTTTCTATTTAATGGTGAATGAATGGAATAGTTCACATCAGCCGTCTGTTGTCGATATTGGACAGTTGAGATGACACATAATCTGTTGCTTCGATTCCATATTGTATGAGCATTTATGTTTTTGAATTCTAAGGAGCGAGGGATGAGGATCGAAGAACTTCCAGTGGTGAAAAGAGGTAAGAATGAGGTTTTGAAAAATTTGAGATTTATTTTTAATAATAAAAAATAAATATATTTTTTTATGATTTTCCTAAAAAAATAAAAATTTTGTCACAATTTAACATTGTAGATTTTAAATTTTTGTAGGGCTAGCTAACGCCTTGGGGACGGTTTTATAGAAGTGTCCCATGACGCACAAATTATTTTTTTTATAAAACATGCACAGAGTAAATCACCAAGCTTCCCCTGACGTGCAAACTGCTTTTTCTAAAAAAAAATGAGAGTAATGATTCTATGAGATCCTCTCACACCCATGTGTATAGGATCTCAAATTATCACTATTAAATTTGATACAAATCTCTAAAAAAATTATCACAAGGGTGTGAGACTTGACTTTTATAAAAAATGTATGCCAAATTTAATAGTGATATTTTGAGGTCCTACACATATGAGTGTTGTGTGGGAGGGTCTCGTAGGATCGTTACTCAAAAAATAATAATAAAAATAATAAGGAAAAAAGAAAATCACCATTATGCAAGAGTGCTAAAAGAGAATTCTTCAAGTATTCCAAAAAAGTGAACCACGTTTTCCAAAATGTGTAGTATATAAAAATTGAGGATTCAGCCCAAAAATGGAGTTGTTCTCGGATTTCTACCCAGGTCGAGCAAATTCCAAATTGGCCTTTCTAAACATCGAAGTAAACCCCAAATGTTGGTTTCACCTTGATCTTTAACGAATGGAGACTATGTTTAAATTTTCAAATGAAGAATCCGCATCGATTCCCTCTCTAATTTGAATTCAAACTCAAATTCAAATTCAAATTCAAAGTGCGTAAATTGACAATAAGTGCCCTTGCTCTCCTCTTATTACCGCACCGATTCAAAATGACTTGATGTCCTTTTATAAAATTGCAAGGCCAACATCAGTATTCCTTAATTTTCATGATGTCACGAACCGAAACCCTTAAATCTAGGGTTTCTTTTCAATCGGAAAACCCCAAATATCTCGCCGGGAAAAATTCTCCCGATGATCTTAAAACCATTACCTCGCCGGAAGATTTCTCCCAGTGGTCTTAAAACCCAAGGAAATGATCCTTTGCGGCAAATTGAACCCAAAAAAAAGTTTCTGCAAATCCTTGACTTCATTATAATGCACTTCTCCGGTTCAAATTTGAAATTTTTCTTACGGGATTTCGATCTCCTTTTGCATCAACATTGATCTTCTATGGGGATTTAACTGTCTAAAAAAAAAAAAACAGCCATGAGAAGCGAGGTGCTTCCTCACACTCCTCTTGTTCCTCTTGATAAAACCCAGAACGGAAAGATGCAAATGGGGGGAAGGAGAAAGTCTCTGATGTTGGCTAATGCAGGTTCCAATGGCTTGAAGATTGAAAAGAACAGTGCTAATTACTTTTCTTTGTGCGAAGAGCCCACATCCATTGGAAACCAGATGCTTTCTCCTAATGAAAGTGAGAAATCAAGTTGCAGATGGGTTGCGAGAACTCGGCAAGGAAATACCCAAGTGGTGGGAAGCAGAAAATCTCGAAGGTTGACTAATGCAGGCTCCAATTGCTTGAAGATAGAAGAGAAGAATGGCCTGAAGATTGAAGAGAACAATGTTAATTGTTTTCTCTTGTGCGAAGAATTCACCTCCAATAAAAACCAGATGTTTACTCCTGAGGAATCTGGGAAAGCAAATTTTCAAATGGTCGGAAGAACGCCTCAAGCGAATACCCAAATGGTGGAAAGGAGAAAGTCTCAGAGGTTAGCTAGAGCGGGCTCCAATGGTTTGAAGGTTGAAGAGAGCAGTGTTAAATGCTTTCCCTTGTTTGAAGAGCCCACATCCACTAGAAACCTGATGCTTTCTCCTAACAAAACTGAGAGAAAAAATTTCCAAATGGTTGCAAGACCCTGGCAAGGACATACCCAATTGGTCGGAACGAGAAAGTCTCTGAGGTTGGCTAATGCAGGCTACAATGCCTTGAATATTGAAGACAAGAACAGTGTTAACTGCTTTCCCTTGTGCGAAGAGCCCGCGTCCATTAGAAACCAAATGCTTTCTCCTAATAAATCTGATAGAGAGAATTTCCCAATGGTCGCAAGAAACCTGCAAGGAAATACCCAAATGGTGGGAAGGAGAAAGTCTCTGAGGTTGGCTAATGCAAGCTTGAAGATTGAAGATAACTGTCTTAATTGCCTTCCCTTGTGCGAAATGCCCACCTCCATTGGAAACCAGATGCCTTCTCCTAAGAGAAGTGAGAGAGAAAATTTCCAAATGGTTGCAAGAACCCTGCAAGGACATACCCAAATAGTGAGAAGCAGAAAGTCTCGGAGGTTAGCTAATCTAGGCTCCAATGGCTTGAAGATTGAAGCGAACAAAGTCGATTGCTTTCCCATGTGCGAACTGCCCACCTCCATTAGAAACCAGATGCTTTCTCCTAAACAAAATGAGAAAGCAAATTTCCAAATGGTTGCAAGAACCAGGCAAGGAAATACCCAAATGGTGGGAAGGAGAAAGTCCCAGAGGTTGGCTAGTGCAGGCTCCAATGGCTTGATGATTGAAGAGAACAATGTCAATTGCTTTCCCTTATGCAAAGAGCCCACCTCCATGAGAAACCAGATTCTTTCTCCCAAGAAAACCAAGAAAGCAGATTTCCAAATGGCTGTAAGAAGAAATTCTGATGAAAACCAGAAAGAGAATTCTGAAATTCTGTCAAGAACAGAGTTTCTGCGGCTGGATAATGTAGGTAGTGACAATATTGGAGAGAATAGCATTCTCCCCTTGAGGAAATCGACCAGGTTGGTTAGGGGTTCTAAGAGGAAACTCAATGAGGATTCTTCTTGTGTTGTGCCAGATTCTTCAGAGAGAGACAAGGGAGATTTGGATAAGAGAGAGAAGATGGAGACTGCTTCTGTTGGCCCCAAGCAGGTGAGCAGAATGGGGGGAAAGAAAGAGATGAAGACTGTTAAAAAAGATGAGAAACAGAGCAAGGCTGAAAGAAACACATTTGAGGAATTTGGGGATGAAGAGGAAATTTGGAATTCAAAGAACAGTGAAGGTTCTTTTGAATGTTTTGCTAGTGAAGGGTGGAGTGAAGATCAAGAAGCGGCATTACAGAAAGCATACCTGACTGTGAAACCTGTTCCTAAATTTTGGAAGGAGGTCTCTAAGCTGGTATGCTCAAGCTCCTCTTCTTTGATTGAATTTTATTTATACAAGAATTCTTGGATTGAAATATTTGTTGGGGATGATGGGCCTGCAAACTTAGATCTATGAATCCTGAATGAGCCGATTATGCCTTTATTTTGATGGAAATTCATCATCATGTTTTAATTTTTGTTATTTTCTTTTCAAAATGGGATATTTTCTATTTAAGCTAAGCTGCTTACTATGCCATTTCTTTTGATTAAGTTGATGGTTGTTGTCTTTGATGTCTTTTAACATTTGAACTGGATTTGATTAGCTCACGTCATTGTATCTCTTCGTGATTGAATTAAGGATTTATTAGATCTCTTAAGCATGTGTATTCTTTCATCTGATTGTTTTTTTTTTCTTCCAGAAATCTTGTGACTGTGGTGCCTCCCCGATTTTATAGTCACAATTTAAAATCATTGATCTCTTAATAAAGGTGTTTTCATCTTGATACAATAACCATTATTCATGTTTTACCGCATGTCATCTAACTCAAAATTGTTACATGTAACCATATGGACATCTAGCTTTTGGGTAGACATTGCCATTCCCAATTGATGGGATGATGAATCTAGTCATTATATGTTTTCCTTCTCTCTTTGTGGAAAACTATTCAAATGATGTGAAATGTCTCAAATGACCTGAAGATCCTATTAAGCAGTAATAAGTGTTGGAAAAATCGGCGAGGCCAACTTGGACTCCCCCAAGTTATTCAGGGTTGGCATGCTGCTGAATCCAGAGCCAAACACATGGGAACCAGTCGAGTGCCGGTTCCCGATAGTTTGTTTACTTTTTGTTTCGATTCGATCAAGTCTGTCAGGTCGCTGGGATTGTGACCCTAGGGAGTCTCGACACTAGTCCTTGTCTTTTTACACTGGCAGTGTTAATGTATTTGACTCAATAGGCCTGATGAGATTAACTTTGTTGGTTAGATCTTCTTTACCTTTGTTGTTAAAATCTTATTTATCTTTGGATGAGTACTACAAAAAATACAAGATACAATGATTGTTATTTGAGCTGAATCCCATAAAAACACAGCTCTGTTTGTCAATACTTCAGATGAAGAATCAAACCTAGCAAGCCTAAGAAAAAAATTGATAGCCCTTGTGATTGTGGGTAAACCCCAACATATAAATCTTCCCTCTATGGTTAAGTATTTGGCCAAGATCTATCAATGTCAATAGGAAGTCACTATGCAAGTAGATATTGTAATCATTATTATTTATTTTTTACTCTTTTGCATTGCATATCATGGTTGTTGGGACCGGGAGCAAGAGCATGGGATTGTGATAGGCTAGATGCTCCCTATGGTCAGGATTATTATCTGTATTCTGAAGTTTAGGGATCTCGAATCCAACATGTTAGGGCATCCGATCCTAATGTTTTGGGATCGCATGAGAAATTCTAAAGGTCCGAAACCTATAAGGTAAAGGTATTTGTTAGAGCATGGTTTTTCAACATAATTACTTTTTTTTTTTTAATGGATATGCATTTAAGTCTTGTTTCCTTATAAAAGGTTAATCTAAAATGAGTGTGATTTATATCAACAGAGCTCTATGGAATTGGGATCATGTTCCCCCGTTATGGGAGCGAGATCCACCGAAGGTCCAACTACAGGAGCGTGGGATCCGGGTGGATATGTTGTGTATCATAATTAAAGGGGGTGGTTACAAATCATAATTTTCCTCGCTCATTTTCTGTTTTTCACAAGCTTCTGCTGAGAAGGAATTCCTTTCTCTGTGTTAGGAGAAAGAGCAATTGTTACCACAGAGATAAAATATGCACCCGGAAAATGATGGAATCAGAGTGCAAGGCTTGCATGTTTACATGAGTGTAGCTGTGTAGGACAAAGGCAGCACCTATTTGCGAGGTTAGAGGTCACCCTTTAGGACTTTGAAATTTGAATAGTGACAAAAATTCCATAACAGAATTTGAATAGATAACACTAAAACAAAAACCAATATTGGAAAAAAATCAATATCCAATATTAAAAAATATCACCAAACCTTAACCAAAAATTAAAATACAGTAACCTTCGAAAACTCAATCAATGTTGGCTCGAATTTGTGGGCTTTGGTTGCTGAAGCACCATTTTTTCAACCTCTTCAAGTCTCACGAACTTTTTATTTGAGTACTTCCTTATTTCATAAGAAAACAAAAAGCTTGTATTATGTTCAACCGACGTTCAACAAATCTCAAATTCTTTGTTTTTAACCTTTTTTCTCTATCTAAAAAACAAGGCAAGGGGGATTTGGATGGATAGAATGCCTTCCAAAACCCTTTTGTTCCCTTGGTAGAAAAAATGACATAAAATGTCGCATCCAAGGGCCATTTTCCTCCATCGGCTGGAGGCTTTGGGGTTGCCTGATGCTGCCAAAAGGCAGGCCTAGGTGCCCGCCTGGCAGCTAGGCACCCCTCTTGTCCAAAAGTTGGATTCTTTTGGTGTGGTTGCCATGGGTGCTTGCCTATACCTAGGTGGTGTGCCTGGGGTGCCAAATTTTTCAACACTGATTGTACATATATATTGCACAACTGGTGCAAATATAATAAATAATGACCAAAGTTTCCATACAGTAAATTATTGAAAGTGGTCCAAAGGTGTTCTAGGGCCCCTCTCCATGGCCCTAACCTCGGCCACCTCATGGTGTAACTTGATTTCCTTATGGCCTTAGGGGGTCCCTTTTGTTGGGAATATTCTTCTTTAGGTTGTCAAAATGTATATATGCCTTGGATAGTCTTGAAGGGAGATTCTCAATGCGATATTTTAGATTTTTATAATGGATTTTAGCATATTTCTCATGCAATGGTGGGGAAAACAACTGAACTTTACATTCTGCTCATGAGTTTTCTCTTTTATGTGTCAATTTGTTGTACACCATTATGATCCCTTATCTAAAACACTGAATTTCAGCATCCTTCAATCATTCCAACGGGAATTCAAAAGCCAAGAGACAAAAGTAGATGGAAGAGAGAGAGCTCACCCATCACTATCTGAAACCCCAAATTCTCCCGTCTAATTATAACCAGAGCAACACTAAAAGAAAACAGAAACTCCTCAGATGAAAGTAACAAGCCAAGAAAATGGTTTATATAACCCCACTTGTATTCTCAACATAATGCAAAATCTTAATTCCATCAAAACCAAGTCCTAATACCATCACAGAAAGAGCAATAAGCCGGTTTAACCACCTCATTTGCATGACCGGCCCTAATTATGCAATCTCATCCACAGTTCTAACCTAAAATTCTCCTACGCAAATGAGTGACCACACTCTTTATGCAAAACAAGAAAACCATGGATCAGGATATCAAAACAAGAAAACCATGGATCAGGATATCAAAACAAGAAAACCATGGATCAGGATATCAAAACAAGAAAACCATGGATCAGGATAATCAAAACAAGAAGTCTCAGAGTTCCTTTATTAATCGATTTAACCTTTATCGATCAATGTTTAATTCTCAAGGTTCCTTTAATGATGATTTCAGCACACAGTTCACAGCAAAATGTGAAACAAAATTAATAGGAAAGCCTGGTAAAATACTAGAAAAAAAAAACATAATTTACCAGGTTCACGAGCTTAATGGAAATAACAGAATCTTGAACCTTTGGCCCTCTAATTCCACCACCCCATTGCCCCTGTTGCCAAAAACAGGGATTTACAAATCCAATAATAAAGTAACCACCTGATCCCAAAAATACAAAGGCCCCATCTCAAAACCCCTTAACCTCAAATTTATACAAATCTTTAAATTTTAATGCAAAGACAAAAATTCTGATTGATAGAAAGTTTAATTGGGGTCTAAACTCTCCTGAAATCAAATGAAAATTAGGATGGCAACTCTCCTAAATTCACTGAAATTTGTCACTTAAACTCAGCTGAAATTCACAGTACTTTACATCAATGAAAGCTTGAAAACATGGAAGTATTGTGATTTTTGTGCGGTTTTAGAAGATTTTTGTTTTGGGAAAGTATATGATGAGACCATTTTACCTATGGTATAAGGTGGTCACAATTAACCTTGACCATTGGATGTGAAATTGGATAGCTGCATTTATTTCATTGGCCAAGCTCAAAGTTCAAAAGAAATTTTCTCGAACTTTGTGACACACCCAAGATATCAGATTTGACATCGGATGGTTGTAAGTAATTGCGATCTCCTTATACAAAAGGTAAATGGTCTCATTGTATAACAATCCCTTTTGTTTTTGGGTTGCATAGATAGCACATCATTGATATCTGAAGCCACATAGAGCTTGATATTCGTGGCATTTTGGGTTAGTTTATAAGATTCTGTTTTTTGAGGAGCATAGGTATCCATCAAAGCATGATAATCATGGAATCACTGTGTTTTTTAGTTGGTTTGAGAATATTGATTTTTTGGTTTGTGGAGATATAGGGATTAGTGAGTATTATGGTGGAGGAGAGCTTAGGGCCTAATAGAAACATGGATAGAATGGGGCAAACAATTTCTGTCTTCTCCACCACAAGAGAAATGGAGATTGATGAGAGAGGTTTTATGGTTTTGTTGGTAGAATGAAGAGGGTGAGGACAAAGAGTGAAGAGAGGAAGAGAGAGAAGGGGAAAGACGATGTTTCAGCCACCATTGTTGCAGAGGTGAGGGCTCCATAGTTTGGATCTATTTTCCCTCCGAAAATGGCAATTTGGTCTGAGAATAGATTAAAAATCCACGAGGGGAGTTTGGTGAGTAGCAAGTAAAGGGTTGAGATTTCATTATTGGTGTCATAAGGTTCGAGGTTTGTTATAGGGTTGGTTATGTCTTGGGGTTGGATGTAAATTTCCCAGAAAAAAAGTCTTGTATCCTCTCGTTCTCCATATGACTTTCCAATTGGGATTTGTTTAATTCCTTAGCATATCTAAGGTTTTCAACAAGATGGTTTGCTTTTTTGTTCATAAGCTCATGGTCTCCAGTCATGGGTTCCTTTAGTTCCTATTTGTTGGGTTTTACTCTTGTAGATCTCCTCAAACATTTTTTTTGTGACTTACATTTGCAAATGGTGGAGCTTATATTGAAGTACCCTACTCTGATTTTAAAATGTCACATTGCTTTAGTGGAAATGCATCCATTGCACTGCATTATATCTTGAAGGTTCACATTCAGGTGCGAGTATCCCTTGCTATAGCTAAAGATGAGTAATACATTGGAAAGACAATAGAACACATTACTAGAAGTATTTTGAAACATTTTTTTATATAATCCTTTAGAGCTTTGGTGGTGCTGATGGCATTCAAAACTCATGCCTCCATGGTTTATTCACTACCTCCCGGGGCTTCTAACATGGTCTTGATAGTGACAATATATATATATATATATATGGAAAAAAGCTCCTGTTAGCCCATGTGCTGATGGAACAGTGTGAGCCGAACGGTCCAGATTGAATTTGGTCCCATCTAATGATCATCGTTGTATTTCGTAATTGAATTTTAATTTTTTTTTTTACATATCCAAATCACTTGAAATTTGAAGTGTCTATTCTTCAAAACTAGTGGAATCTAATAAAAATATCAAAAAAATAATTCTCATAAAATAAATTGACCAAAATACCCCTGAAACATTTCATGGATATTTTGGTCAATTTATTTTATGCGTATTAGTTTTTTATTTTTTATTTTATGAGAAGAGTTGATGCTCTAACTTTCATGTTATTTAGATTTATATAAAAAATATTAAAATTATATTACCGAAATACAGTCATGATTGTCAGATCGGTCTAGGTTCAATCTGGGCTGTTGTGCTGACCCTATCATATATATATATATAGGGAAAATTTTATATAGAGCCGAGGCTCTAAACAATCAAATTCGAGCCTACCTCAAAACTTTCACTACAAGAGGTTGTTTTGATGCTCAAATATCCTCAAATTGATCATCTCGACATCAAGATGTATGGACATGAGAAAAAAATTGATTTCAAGGTTTGGAAATAGTGTATTTTGTAATACATTTTTGAACCGTCAATTTTCAAGATTTTCAAGTTTTGATAAATATCATCAATCTACACTATTTTTTAAGCTTTAAACTTTATAAAT